AGTGAACTGCTCAGCTCTGTAAAATGTATACTTCCTTTCTTTCCATCAGTCTCCCCTATGGAATCTTCCATAAAGTGTCCTTTTATAACTATCTATTGCCTGTGGGGTGAATTTTCTTTTTTTGTTTTTCTTTTTATTTAGAGATAGGGTCTCTGTCCACCAGGCTGGGTATGTAGTGGTGCCACCTTGGCTCACTGCAATCTCTGCCTCCCGAGTTCAAATGATCCTCCCGCCTGAGTTGCCCTAGTAGCTGTGACTACAGGTGCGCATCATCAATGCTCAGCTAATTTTTTTTTTTTTTTGTATTTTTAGTAGAGATGGGGTTTCACCATCTTGGCCAGGCTGGTCTTGAACTCCTGACCTCAGGTAATCCACATGCCTGGGTCTCCCAAAGTGCTGGGATTACAGGTGTGAGCCACCACACCCAGCCTGTTAGATTTCTTTTGGAGAATAAAACAGATTGAGTCTTGTGCCAAAATACAGGGGAAGGTGCACCCAAACAGGTAACAAAGTATTATATACAATAATAGATAGGGTTTCTACATACCAATATTAACCATTTAGAAAACCAAATTGAGAAAAATCACACTTATATTGTGACAAAAATACATAAAATATCTAAAACCAGATTATTGGAGCAAGATGGCAGATAGATCCTGTGCCCCACTCAACATTCCATCGAATTAGGAAGAAAATGTTTTCAAGGGTCAATTCCTAACAGTAGAGGAAAACAAGAAAACATGTCAGTGGTCCACCAGATATATTGAGGCATTCTTGGGAGATAGAGTAGATGGGATCAGACTGATAGAGAAAGCCAAGGAGAGAAGACCACAGTTCAAATCACTGTAGGCAAGAGATGCTGTTTGTTTTTTGAGACAGAGACTTATTCTGTCGCCCAGGCTGGAGTGCAGTGGCATGATCTCATCTCACTGCATGCTCTGTCTCCCGGGTCCAAGTGATTCTCCTGCCTCAGCCCCCGCAGTAACTGGAATTCACAGGTGGCCCCCACCATGGCAAGCTAATTTTTATATTTTTAGTAGAGACAGGGGTTTCACCATATTGGCCAGGCTGGTATCGAACTCCTGACATCAAGTGATCTGCCTGCCTTGGCTTCCCGAACTGCTGGGATTACAGCGTGAGTCACTGCGTCCAGCCAAGAGATGCTCTTTGTAACAAAGCTTCTGAAAAACTCCAAACCCAGAATCAACAAAAAAACAGGGAGCTGGAAAGGGCCTTAGGATAATCATCAGGTAGGTTAATTTAAAAGTTCATTTGAAGCATCTGAATCAGCCAGATTTCCCTCCAACATCACAAACAGGTTGCCTGGCAGTAGCCACTTTTGCCTCTAAGATGATACTCTGATAATTGTTCATTAAAGAAAGTGAAGGCCTGGCGAGGTGGCTCATACTTGTCATCCCAGCACTTTGGAAGGCTGAGGCAGAAGGATTGCCTGAATCCAGTATATAGAGACCAGCCTGGGCAACCTAGTGGGATCCTGTCTCTGCAGAAAATACAAAAATTAGCTGGGTATGGTGGTGTGTGCCTGTAGTCCCAGCTAGTTCGGAAGCTGAAGTGGGAGAATTCCTTGAGCCCAGGAGATCGAGGCTGCAGTGAGCTGAAATTGCAGCACTGCACTCCAGCCTGGGAGACAGAGTGTGATCCTGTCTCAAAAAATAACACAAAAAAGTAATGCATCACTGGGCATGGTGGCTCATGCCTGTAATCCCAGCACTTTGGGAGGCTGAGGCCAGGGAATCATGAGTTCAGGAGATTGAGACAATCCTGGCTAACACGGTGAAACCCAATCTCTACTAAAAATACAAAAATTAGCTCGGCATGGTGGCAGGTGCCTGTATTCCCAGCTACTCGGGAGGCTGAGGCAGGAGAATCACTTGAACCTGGCAGGCGGAGGTTGCAGTGAGCCAAGATCTCACCACTACACTCCAGCCTGGACAACAGAGCGAGACTCTGTCTCAAAAAAAAAAAAAAAAAAAAAAAAAAGTAATGTATCAGAACTTGATGTAACTTCAGCCCTTCACAGTAATAATAAAGGAGAGAAACACATTTGTGGAGAGAGGACCATGTTCCCTCTTTATCTATCCATAATAGACAGATAGTCAGGAGCTTTATATAACCAAGGAACCTAAGGAAAAATGTTCCCTGTCATGACTCACAATCTTCCAGCCACCCCTCCTTGCACCTGTCCTGTGGGCTGGGAGACCCAACTTATGGATTCCATCTTCCCAGGGAGAAAGAAAAATCAAATCCTTCAGTATCTCTCTTAGGGTATCCTCTCCTCTATTTGCCTGGAGGATAAGGCTCTCGATATCTAGTAGTCGAATGTTACATTTGCATAATATAGAACTATATTGGGATAAAATAGAATTTGTTTCCTCTGAGACACAGGTAGAGGTACGTCCACACTGACCCAGGTGGCAGCCACCTCTTCCTGCAGTGCCAGGCAGGACATGCTCACAGATCTGGGGAACCTCTGCTGCTCCTGGAACCCCACAACCTCCTTCCTGGCACCCTGTCCCTCTGGCGGTTGTGGCAGCCCACACTTGGCCTTGGGCATCCCCTGCTTCTTTGCCTGACCCTCTTCTGCCCACACTGCATATCTCTGTCTCCCACTGTCCCACTATGACCACGATTGCCTCTCCCTCCCTGCACTCTCCCTCTCCTACGGCTCCTTGTCTTGGGAAAATGAACCCACAGCCTCTACCTTGCGAATGGGGACAGAACCCCGGGCATGTTCAATTCTCCCTCCCTCCATCACACACATTTGTCCTCCTTAATGTTTCTGAAGTCAGTGAGCTCCAAACTCAGCCCCTCCTGCCCCTGCCAGCTGTAGGACCTGTGACAAGACGCCTACCATCTCTCTGGGACTCCATCTCTCATCTATCATATAGGCATAATGATGATAGTGTCCTCCTTCCAAGGCTGGGGAGAACCAGGAGGCCAAGGTGATGGGTTGTGGACAGTCAAAACAGCTCTCATCCTGCCTCCACCTGGGGCTGGTGTTTCAAGTCCGTTGTGTGTGAATGCAGCCTTAATGTCTCCAATCACACACAACGATTTGTTCTAAAATAGACTCCCCTCTGCCCTTCCCTTCCCCACAACTGTTTCCCCTCTGCACCGTGCAGTGGTACCTGTGAGAAAGAACTGACGCATTCCCAAATCATCGTCCCCACCCCAGCCCCCAGGCCCTTGGTTGGTGAGACCCTTGATGGGCAGTCTCATGCTTCTGTCCAGGGGACTTTCCCACCGTTGCTCCCCTGCATGGAGACTAAGTGGACTCTTCTATTCCCTGTCCATCACAGGGTCTACTGTGCACACATCTTCCTCATTCCTCCACGTTCCCCAGATGACGACTTCATCTGTGTCTCCTCCCACATACTCCCAAATGGACCGTCCCAGACCTTGAACTTGAAATTCGTTCAGAGAGCAAAGGCCAAGATGCCCAGTCACCTGCTGCAGAATCCTGCTCCAGGACTGAAGTGTATAGTCTCTATCAAAATAAAAACTGGAGGCCAGGCACAGAGGCTTACACCTGAATCCTAGCACTTTAGGAGGCCAAGGTGGGAGGATCACTTGAGCCCAGGAGTTCCAGGCTGCATTGAGTTATGATGATGCTACTGCACTCCACCCTGGACAGAGGAAGACCCCATCTGTAGAAAAAACAGACAGACAAACAAGCAGACAAAACCAACAACTGGAAACATCCTCCTCTAGAATGGTGGTCAGGAACATCTGCCTGCCTTGTTCCCTGATGTCTCTCCAGCACCTAGAACAGCGCTCAGCACGAGGATGCACTCATTAGTGTTTTGTTGAATAAATGACTCCTTTGATACAGCCATTCCACTTCTAAGAATCTTTCCTAAATAAATATTCACACACTTGCAAAGAGCTGTGTGCACAATAATGGGAGGAGCAAACAACCGGGGAACGTTTGCAAATGTTTATTAACTGTCAGTAACTGATACAGGGGAATCGGATGAGGGGAGTACATGCTGAACAGAAAACAGGGTGTTGGGGGACTTGACACATGGCAATGGGGAAATGCAGATGGGAGATACTTATAGTGGTACTTGGTGTGTGTGGGGTGTGTGTGTGTGTGTGTGTGGTGTGTAAATGCAGAGGAAAAATCTGAAATTAAACACTCAGACCTGCTGTCAATCGCCACATCTGGGGAGAGAGGAGGGAAGTGCTTTGCTATTCTATGCAGAGAATACCTGACAATACTTGTTTTCTGAGCTAGGTACATGTATACACAGACCAAAATATGCATTAAGTATGTCTTGCTCATCAACGAAAATGCTAATATCTAACAGAATGGCATACCGTAAGAAAATACAACAGAAATGCTAACAAGGAACTCTTGGCACACTAAGAAAAATGATGCTCAACTTTTCACTGTTGTGAACACTCGCTTTCACTTGCTATGCACCTGATGACGAGGGGTCTGCAGCCATGCCCATGTTCTTGAAAGGTCACCAAATTCTGCTTCTCATCATGGGCATGTGTCATATCTCTGAGGCTGAGGCAAGAAGAGAGAAGGAAAGTAAGTGGCAGTGAGTTGCCACTGCCTGATAACTCAATCTCATCTCCTCCTGACGTGCAGACCCTGTACACTCCGATTCTGCCCTACATCAGGACCTGCACACGCTTTCCACGGTTCCTCGAAGTGAACCATCTGCACATGCCACAGTAACTTCCTTGCCTGGTTTATCCATTTCTAGGCTAGAGGAAGGTGTGGCCCACGTATCAGGACGGACCTGGGGTTTGGGAACCCACAGCATCCTGGGTAGGGAGGAACCCTGGATATACAGGGCAGGGAGTAGAAAGAGCATGGGAAATCTCATCATTCAACCTCAATGCTGTACCCTAGAAAATTATGAGAAGGGAATGATTTGGGGAACAAGTGACAAGATGGGATACCGGTACTGTAACAGAATAGCACATCTGCAGGGATGTGGGGGATGAGCTGAAAGTTCACTTACGGAGTTACTCGTCATCTTCCTCAGGGTCGCTGATCTCTTCATAAATCACCAGCTGCTTTCTCTCACGCAGTCTGTGGGTCCAGGCATGTTTTCCCCTTTTGGGTCCTATGATAGAGAAGAGTTGGAAGATGAGGGTTGGGTAGGCTGGAGAGTGTTAGTTTCTGTTTTCTCCAAAAATGGAGATGCCTCCCCTCTCCCAAGTGCCCATGGGTCTTCTTTTTCCAGTTTTTCACATTCTCTGGCTTAGAGAGGCTGAGACCTTAGACCCACACCAATACAGGCCAAATGCCAATTAAAGTTTTAGCTTCTGGTTCCTTCCGTTGTGAGGTTTAGATTCCCAACCTCTCCGCTTACAGGAACATTCAACCATACCTCCTTTCATTCTGCACGTATTTGCTAAGGGCACACAGGCATACCTTGTTTTATTGCATCTCATTTTTATAGTGCTTCGCAGATATTGCAATTTTTGGGGGGGAATCCTCACCAATTTTACACTTTTCAACTATTATTATGTCTGTTGTTGTGATCTGTGATCAGTGAGCTTTGATATTATTATTGCAAATGTTTTTGTTGTTTTTTGGTCTTTTAAAGTATTTTTTTTTTTATTTTTGTGGGTACACAGTAGATGTATATTCTTATGGGGTAAGATGCTTTGACACAGGCATGCCATGCGTAATAATCACATCATGGAAAATAGGGTCTCCATGCCCTCAACCATTTATCCGTGTGTTACAAACAATCCATTTACACTCTCTTAGTTATTTTTAAATGTGTGATTAACTTATTATTGATTACAGTCACGCTGTTGTGTGTAAATGTTTTGGGGGTACCAGGAACTGCCCCTACAGAAGATGAGGAACGTAATTGATCAATGTTGTGTGTGTTCTGACTGCTCCACTGATGAGCTGTTCCCCTCTCTCCTCCTCTTGGGCCTCCCTATTTTCTGAGACACAGCAACACTGAAATTAGGATGATGAAGAACCCTACAATGGTGGCTATGTGTTCAAATGAAAGGAAGAGTCACATGTCTCTCACATTAAATCAGAAGCTAGAAATGGCCAAGGTTATTGAGGAAGGCATGCTGAAAGCCAAGATAGGCTGAAAGCTAGGCCTCTTGAACCAAACAGCCAAGCTGCTGAAATAGAGAAAAGTTGAGTGGTCAGGATAGAAGATGAAACCAGCCATAACATTCCCTTAAACCAAAGTCTAATTCAGAGCAAGACCCGAACTCTCTTCAAGTCCATGAAAGCTGAGAGGGTGACAAAGTTGCAGAAGAAATGTCGGATGCTAGCAGAGGTTGGTTCGTGAGATTTAAGGAAAGAAGCCATCTCTGTAACATAAAAGTGCAAGGTGAAGCAGCAAACCCTGATGGAGAAGCTGAAGCAACCTATGCAGAAGATCTAGCTAAGATCACTGCTGAAGGTGGCTACACTAAAAAACAGATTTTCAATATAGATAAACTAGCCTTCTATTGGAAGGTGATGCCATCTAAAACTTTAATAGCTAGAGAGAATTGACTCTAACTTTGAAAGAAGTTCTACTGTGAGTAAAATGCTATCCAATAGCATCACATACTACAGAGATGTGCTTCATGAAAGGGAGAGCTAATCGATGTGGCAAATTTCATTGTCGTCTTCTTTTAAGAAACTGCCACAGCCACTCCACCCTTCAGCAACCACCACCTTGATCAGCCAGCAGCCATCAACACTGAGGCAAGACCCTCCACCAGCAAAAAGAGTGTGACTCACTGAAGGCTCAGAAGATTGTTTGCATTTTTAACAACGAATTATTTTAAAATTAAGGTGTGTACATTTTTACACATAACGCTATTGCACACTTAGTAGACTACACTATAGTGTAAAATAATGTTTTTATGCACTGCCAAACAAACAAAAAACAATGTGTGTGACCCACTTTATTGCAGTGGTCTGGAACAGAACCTGCAATATCTCTGAAGTACACATGTGTTGAGTATCAGGCGTTGAGCTGACTAAGATATGATTCCAGATTATCACAGATAGAATTGCTTGAGCACCTTTCACGTCATCAGGCCTTCTAGATTTAATTTAACGCCTCCAAACAATTTATGAACTATGATTCTTTATTTCTATCTTATGGACTAGGAATCTGGAACTGAGAAAATTTGGAAGACTTGCCCCAAGACACGTGGTTTTTTACAACTTCAGTCTGTGTCTCTGAAAGTCATCTCTAACATCTCATCTGGAGCTGGGTGAGCTCCTCAGCCCAGCCTGGACCCAGGCTTGTCTGGGATCCATGCCACGCACCCAGTCCACACACCTGAACATAGCCAGGGAAGCTACAGTGATTACTCCTGATTTGTTTCCTCTTACCAGATCTCTTGTTAATCTTCTCAGAGGTATTTGCTTTTCCCGGGGGGCACAGCTGTTTCCCATCATTTTGTGGGCCAGATGCTTCTGGTACTCCCTTTGAATCATTTCCTTCCTCTGCTGGCTTCTTGAGCATGATCTTTACAATGTGAAGGTCACAGATAAACAGTATCAGTGAAATTTCTATAGTGCTTTAGAGCTTACAAAGCGGCTTCACATGCATTACCTTAATCAATATTCTCAGCAACGCTGGGAGAGTTACACTTACCTAAATAAGGAGAAACCTGGGAGGTTAGAAGGGAAAGGAAAGGCCTAAATGAATGGGGCTTCCAGGGCTAGAATGCTTATCTTCACACTCTTTTAAGACTGACATTCGTGCAAACAGCAGAAATCTCCATGTAATTGAGAGTGTGGTATACAGAAGATTTGGAGAAAAATAGCATTCTAAGAATTCAAAAGGTCTACAAATGGAAGAGCTTCTATAAAATACAAGGGATCCCATAAAGGCTTGTAGTCAGTTGCTGGGAGTCTAAATGTAAATACGTAGCGAGGGGACAAAACACTGCTGGGAAAGATACTGTGCGGAGATGAATACAAGGAAGGGAGAGGGAAAGAAATGGTTTGCTGAAATTAATCTAGGCAGCAAACAAAGCAGTACCAGATATGGCATAGCACCCTAGAGAGGCACCAACATTGAATGTGGAATTCAGTGAGGTGGTACCCATACCAATTCTGGTTACATTGGGATATGTCACTGACCAACAATCTTAAGCTACTTTTTTCTTTGCTTTTCTTTTTTCTTTTTGAGACAAAGTCTCGCTCTGTCACCAGGCTAGAGTGCAGTAGCGAGATCTCGGCTCACTGCAATCTCCCCCTCCCCCGGGTCAAGTGATTCCCCTGCCTTAGCTTCCTGAGTAGCTGGGACTACAGGCAGGCACTACCACGCCCCACTAAGTTTTGTATTTTTAGTAGAGATGAGGTTTCACCATGTTGGGCAGGATGCTATCTCTTGACCTCATGATGTGCCCACCTCAGCCTCCCAAAATGCTGGGATTACACTCGTGAGTCATCGGGCCTGGCCCTTAAGCTACCTTTTACTCAGCTTCCTCACTTATGAAATAGTGAACAATACATGTAAAATAGGCTAAGGGAAAGTACTCTCTGAGCTTGTAAATACTGTTTAAATGTAATAATAATAACAACAATTAATACCTTTCTGTTTCCTTCTTTGAATTCAGTCTCCACGCTGGCAACCCAACTCCCACATTCCTTTACCCTCTAAACCAGAGTTGATTCTGCACTTGTGGAATCACTCATTCAGGGACCTCCGAGGGATCCCCTGGGCTGGGACTGGGGCTTCCCGGATGCCCCAGGTGCAGACAAGGCCCTCAAGGAGCTCAAGGAGGGGCCAACAGTCAAAGCAATTCCTAAGCCATGCAAGCGGCCCCGGTAACAGAGGAGAGGCCAGCTGGTCCTTCCTGTTGCGAGAATGGGTGTCTCAACGGAAGCACCAGCAGGCCCTATGGGGTAAATCCCTAGTGAGCAACATCTGAACTTCATAAATAAATGCAAATGTGAATGAGCTTTAAATGGCTTGGAGCTCTGGAGTAGACTACCCCTGCCACTGTGCCTCAGGAAAATTCTTTAACATCTCTGTACCATGATAGCCTCATTTTATTATTTTGCTGATAATTATGATCTATAACACGAACTATGATTCTTCGCTTCCATTTGATGGACCAGGAATCTGGAGCTCAGAGAACTTAGAAGATTTGCGCCAAGTCACATGGCTTTTATAAACACCGAAGTGTGTGATTCATTATTATTTGGAGATAATAACAGACACAACATCATAGAGGTCTTCTCATGGATTCAATACATTACTTCATGTGAAGTTATTAAAATAGTATCTGGCATCACTATGAAAACAAAGTATTAAGAATCACAACTCAGTATTATTAAGCTGTCGATGCTACATCAGGTGTTGTGATAGACATGGGGAGAAGGAGGCAATGAGGGCATTTTTGATATGCTCCCACTCTTACCAGTGTTCACATCCGTGAAGGGACAAAGGTTCTCTGGTCCTTTGGATTTGAGAGATACTCACCTTCGGGATGATTCTCTGGAGCCTGCCGAAAGTCATCTGAGGACGTTCAACTGAAAGAGAATACATCAGCATTTTTCTTTGTTGGTAAAGATTTCCAAACTTCAGAGAGACTTCTGTTGCATGAGGGAATTCTGTAGCAGAGGGTTATGAGTCCACTCACTGTTGAGGAGTTATTTGAGATTTGCTTCTGAATTATGTTTAGTCATGGTTGGTGCATTTATCTGTGGTATCAATTCAGAATTTTCCATCTCATGGTTTATCAAATTGGGGTTAAACCCCATCACAGTCTCATCTTATGTCATTACGTATCTTTTACTTTTTCCCAAATAATTAAATTGATTAGTTGGGAATCTGAACTGTATTCACTCAAGATGTGCAACAACTAAAAATCACTGTACACTTGAAATGGGTGAATCTTATGGTATGCGTATTAAGCTGTTAAATGTGTGATGAACCATGGATGATTTATTCCAGTGGCTCTGAAATATTTTCAGTATAAAGACACTCCTTTAATGTCAAAAACTTGGCAGATACTCAAGCACTGGATTGTCAGATCTCTTACAGTGATTGTGGGAGATGGTAGAATCTGGCCTGTTTAGTTGGGGAGTAATAGGTCTATTGGAGATGGTTTGGACATTCTGACCTTATCTTATGATTGCATTGTCAGTGCAGAAGAGCCAATAAACACATACGTCCCCTTTATATTCCTGAAATGCACAAAGATCTCTACCTAAGGACCTGTCTTTTTTTCACCCTATGTTATCTACGGTTTTAATAAAATACAGAGAAACAGAAATCTTCATTACATAATGTGTTCATCACCATTTCTCTTATGATATTTATCCAATATCTACATGCTGTTAATGAAACAATCACTGGAAGTTTTTGGCAAATCTACACTTTTAACATTTTCTTTTTTTTCACTTTTAAATTTTTTTTTTTTTTTTTTTTTTTTTTGAGACGGAGTTTTGCTCTTGTGGCCTAGGCTGGAGTGCAATGATGCGATCTCAGCTCACCGAAACCTCCGTCTCCCAGGTTCAAGCGATTCTCCTGCTTCACCCTCCTTAGTCGCTGGGATTAGAGGCATGTGCCACCATGCCCGGCTAATTTTGTGCTTTTTTTTTTAGTAGAAACGGGGTTTCTCCATGTTGGTCAGGCTGGTCTCGGACTCCTGACCTCAGGTGATCTGCCCTCCTCGGCCTTCCAAAGTGCTGGGATTATAGGTGTGAACCACAGTGCCGGCCTTAAAATTTTCTTAACTGTGCTTTGATTCATTAACAGTGTTTAGCAAGAACAACATGTCCTTTAAAAAAGAAATATTTCAAACACACAGAAAAGTATGGGGAATAATATTGAGTTCAGTCGCATCTCAACATTACCCCATGACTATGTTAGATCTGATTTATTTATTCAGAATGTTAGAAACACTATTAACAGGCTGGGTGCAATAGCTCATGCCTGAAATCCCAGCACTTTGGGAGGCTGAGGAGGGTGGACCACCTGAGGTCAGGAGTTTGAGACCAGCCTGGCCAACATGGTGAAACCCTGTCTCTACTAAAAATACAAAAATTAGGTGGGCATGGTGGCCGGCACCTGTAATCCCATTTACTCAGGAGGCTGAGACAGGAGAATCTCTTCAACCCAGGAGGCAGAGGTTGTAGTGGGCTGAGACTGTGCCACTGCAGTCCAGCCAAGAGCGAATCTCCAGTTCAAAAAACAAAACAAAACAAAACAAAACAAAAACAAAACAAAACCAAATAAAAACACTATCAATAAGTCATGACGGAAGCTGTCTGTGCAGCACTCACCAATCCGTGCCCCCACTCCTTCTCCATTTACAGCCAGTCTCCTCAATTTGATGGCTTTTTATTCACATTCATGTTTTATGCATTTACCATTTGCTTATTATCCATAAATATTCATATTCTTGTTTTACATGTTTTATAATTTTATGAATGATCTCTGTAGTTAACTTTCTGTATGCAATTTTTTTTTCACTCAGCCCTGATGTGTATGAGGGAACAAATGCCTGAGGATCCTTCCCAGATAGCTGAGCTGAAAAGCAGTTGGGCTTCAGGAGACCCTTTCCAGCCCCTTCCCATCTACTCACCCTCATTCCTGCGGTTACGGTCATTATTAATATTCCCCTGGAAGTCTGTGGCCCATTTATTACGCATGAAAGGTGGGAGGGTGACATTGAAACCTAGAAAGAAGCAAAATATTTCTTTCTTAAGAGACAAACTTAGGCCTGGCATGGTGGCTCATGTCTGTCGTACCGGCATTTTGAGAGGCTGAGGCGGGAGGATTGCTTGAGGCCAGGAGTTCAAGACAAGCCTGGGTAACATAGAGAGACCCCCACATCTACAAAATATAAAATAAAATTAGTTGGGCATGGTGGCATGTGCCTGTAGCCTCAGCTACTCCACAGGCTGGGCAGGAGGATTGCTTGAGCCCTGGAGTTTGAGGCTACATTGAGCTATGATTGCACTGCTACACTCTAGCCTAGGTGACAGTGAGACTCTGACTCCAAAAGAGAGAGAGAGAGAGAGAGAGAGAGAGAGAGAGAGAGAGAGAGAGAGAAAAGCCGAAAGGAGGAAGGTAGGGTGGGAGATGTGCTGTGATGCCACAGAGACAGTTGGGCTCATCAGACGCCTATGGGAGAGAAACGTGCAGGATCTAGGTACGAGCTCCACTGTGGCCAGCCCCTGCCCTCAGCCCTGACAGGATACGGAAGAGCAGAACACCCAGAAGCTGCCTTGTGATTTTTTCCCTGCACAAAAGGAAAATGTGGGGTACTTTCTGCAGCCTAAGAAGTAGCCTAGGCAGGAAAAGGGATGCTCATGTGTCCCCAGACTTGTCTGTTCCTAGAACTTTCTGTTACCTAGTTTAGTCATGGCCTCATACTTTCTCTTCACATGCACACAGCTGATTTTCTCCGAGTATTTCATCTTTTCCCACTCTTTCTTAGAGAAGTATTTGGCAATATCACCAAAGGCCTAGGAGAAAAGAAAGAAAGAAATTCTGGCAGTGACTCAGCTAGGCATGTCTGCCATTCAACTGGAGCCGCTTCCTGTGTGGTGGATCTGGGAAGTGGGGATGATAATCCGTCCTGGTTGATGCCATGGCTAACTGAGACAACATGGGAACCTTCCCCAGCTTCTCCCCTGCCGCACAGTAGGGCTTTAATACTGCTAGCTGGCTCTCTTCCCACCTTGCAGAATGGAGTGAGAGTCACCAAATGTAGTGCACGGCCACAGACTTGTCTCCAGGGATGCTAGGTGATGACAGAGCAAGGGTGGGAGGCTCCCAAGGGTCCAGATCTCCCCCGAGACCCTGCTCCTTGTCCCAAGTACCTCTGTCCTCCCCTCCTCAGAAACCTGGTCACCCTACTCTGTCCCCTGGACCACTGCTCTGTCCCCTCCAGGTCACCTCACCTTGCTTCTCCTCTCTGATGTTTTAGCATCATCCCTGGGTCTCTTTGCAAAGGCGTCGTCTCGATTCATGGCACCGGGAGCAGTCTGACCTGCAAGAGAAACAGCCTGAGTCTTTCCAGTCCTGTGGAGGGAGAAATCAGTGAAGGCCGGCCACACTCAGTCACCTGGAATCAGGTGTTGCATTTCTGCATCTGGGGCTTATCTGTCCGTGAGTAAAGACATGGGGAGAAGTCAGATGAAAATAGGGAGCCAGGGGTCTCTGGGAGAAGTATTGATTGGGGATGACAGGTTCTATGGGCATAGCAGCCTTGAGTCTTTGGGACGGGATTGGCTAATGTTGTTAGTAGTTTCCCTGGGGCCAGGCTTACCCTGAAAGATGTACAGACCCTTGTCGGGGAGGCAGGGACGTGACTGTGTGATTGTATCCAGTGGGGGCGTTCTGACACCCCCAGTCAATAAATAAAGGGAGGGAAGTGAGTCCCAGAGGTAACATGGTCTCTCTGGTGATGGATCTGATCAGGCAGAGGGATGGGGGGGTTCTGTTCTGTTGAAGAGAAATGAGCATCGCTAATATGAAAGGATTTAGAGGCTATTACTGGGTTATTGGTAAATTATTAGAAGGAAGAGAGCTAGAATCTCAGAGACTACAAGAGCCCTCCATCACTTAGAGAGAATGGGGGGCATTTCAATTTGCAGCAATCGGCCAGGCTCGGTGGCTCATGCCTGTAATCCCAGCATTTTGGGAGGCCGAGGTGTGCAGATCACTTGAGCCCAGGAGGTCAAGACCAGCCTGGGAAACACAGCAAAACCCCCATCTCTACAAAAACAAACAAACAAACAAAAAAGAAAAACACACAGAAAATTAGCTGGGGGTGGTGGCGCAGGCCTGTAACATCTCAGCCCTTTGGCAGGCCAAGGGGGGCGGATGGCTTCAGTCCACGAGGTCGATACCAGCCTAGCCAACCTAGCGAAACTCTCTACTAAAAAAAAAAAAAAAAAAAAAAAAAAAAAAAAAAAAAAAAAAAAAAAATTACATAAAAAATATTAGTGGGGGCAGGGTGGTGCATGCCTGTAGTCCCAAGGCTGAGGCAAGAGGCTCTCTGGAGCCCAGGAGGTCGAGGCCAGCCTGGCCAACATAGCAAAACCCCATTTCTACCAACAACAATAACAACAAAATAATAGCATGGGTGAGGTGGCTCCTGCCTGTAGTCTGTAGTTCCAAGGCCGAGGTGGGAGGATCGCTTGAGCCCAGGAGGTCAAGACCAGCCCGGCCAATGTAGTGAAGCCCCGTCTCTACTAAAAACAACAACAACAACAACAAACCAGCAGGGGCAGAATGGCACACACCTGTAGTCCTGAGGCCAAAGTGGGAGGATCGCTTGAGCCCAGGATGTTGAGGCCAGCCTGGCCAACATAGTGAAACCCGGTTTCTACTAAAAAAAAAAAAAAAAAAAAAAAGCGTGGGCAGGCTGGTGCCCTTCTGTAGTCCCGCGGCCGAGGCAGAAGGATTGCTTAAGCCCAGGCGGTCTAGGCCAGCCTGGCCAACACAGCAAAACCGTCTGAACTAAAAAATGAAAAACAAAAAAATATTAGTGGGGGCGAGGTGGTGCGTGCCTGTAGTCCCAAGGCCGAGGCGGGAGGATTACTTGAGCCCAGGCAGTCGAGGCCAGCCTGGCCGACATAACGAATCCCCGTCTCTATTAAAATACAAAAATGAAAAAATATTTCTAGGGGTGGGATGGCACAGGCCTGTAGGCGCGAGGCCGAGGCGGGAGGCTCCTCCATGATGATCGTCCTGAAAGGCATTAGTTGTCTTTCAGTCCTCAAGATTTTCGGAAGCCCAAGCACTTGAGGCCCCTGCGGAGGCTTCCTCCTTTTCTATCTGCCCCCATTGGCCCATCTGGGGTGTCCCTTCAAGAGAACCTACCTCAGAGACAAAGCAGTGGTGGCGAGGTCGGCAGCAGTTGGCGACAAAGTGTGGCTGGAGGAGGAGAAAATATTCTGTGATGTCACTGCCCCAGGATGATGGACCAATCAGGGCAGTCAGTGAACTCCGTCTGGCCAATTAGAAGTCAGAACAGTAGGCGGGACAAGCCAAGCTGATGTGGGGTCTCTCAGCTCAGGCTCCAGGGACAGAACCTTCTCAAAGCGAGGGCAGAGACTCTGATTTTCCCGCCTAAAGCATCCCCTGGGATTGGCTACTCCAAGTTCAGAGTACGCATGCTCTGATTTTCTCTTCAAGCCAAGCTGATGTGGGGTCTCTCAGGTCAGGCCTCCAGGACAGAACCTTCTCAAAGCGAGGGCAGAGACTCTGATTTTCCCGCCTAAAGCATCCCCTGGGATTGGCTACTCCAAGTTCAGAGTACGCATGCTCTGATTTTCTCTTTAGATTCTTTCAAAATCAGAGTACTCATGGGCTGCTTTTATCTTGCCATTTTTCCTATCTCCCCACTATCTCTCATGTGGTGCATTTGTTATCCAGTATTAATACAGTGTATACGTAAGCAGGTCGCCATCTCAAATCCTTCCTGTCAGTTTCTAACTTTTTCATGTATGGGATTTTTCCTAGAACTCTGTAGCACTGCAAGAAACTTGGGCCGGGCGCAGTGGCTCACCCTTGTAATCCCAGCACTTTGGGAGGCCACAGCTGGTGGATCGCTTGAACCCGGGAGGCAGAGGTTGCAGTGAGCCACGATCACGCAGTGCACCGCAGCCTGGGCAACAGAGAGATAATTTGCCCTTTATCTCTACAATAAAAATAAATAAATAAAATTAGCGAGGTAGTGTGCCTGTAGTCCCAGTTACTCAGGAGGCTGAGGTAGGAGGGTTGCTTGAGCCCAGGAGTACGAGGTTGCAGTGAGCCATGATCCGGCCACTGTTGCCTACCTGGGCTACAGAGTAAGATCTTGTCTAAACAAAAAGAAGACAGAGAGAGAGAGAGGGAAGAAACATTTCCATGAGCTAGTCCCAGTGGCTCACGCCTGTAAAACCCAAAACTTTAAGGCTGAGAGGAGATAGTAGGATCACTTGAGGCCAGGAGTTTCAGAACAATCTGGGCTACAGTGAGACCCCCACCCTATAAAAAAAAAGCCTTTAAAATAATTAAACTAAAAAAACACTTCTGTATTTTTTTTTTTCTAGAAGACTAAAGAACTGGTGAAATATGTTTTACTCATTGATATTAATAATATTTGTACAATAGTAGTAAAAGAGTATGTAATTAGGGCCTACTGTGTTCTTCAGGAGCTCATAAGTCAATTTCTAAGAAGTTTCCCTACCCCCATCCCTGGTACTCCAACACGTCCCCTGCCTCTCTGTCGATCTACAGCCCTGATCTCTCTAAGATCCTCCCAAAATGACAGTGAGCTCTATTAAGGCAGGGACAGGCAATGGCTCCTTGAGCCAGCACAAAGCCCTTTATGCATCTTCCCATTAATTTTCACACCTTCTTAAGTTAAATACTATTATCATCCCCAGTGTGCAGATGTTGAGACTGAGGCTCAGAGAAGCAGTCTGCCTGAGGTCGCACAGTCAGTGGGTGATAGAGCTGGGATTCACTTAAGGTGAATTTGGTTGAGTCCAAAGTCTGTGCTTTGGATGTATGTATTTTTAATGTATACATTAAAATGTATACAATTTTAAATGTATGTATTTATTTTTAATTAAAGCAATTTTTTTTAAGAGATGGATCTGCCGTGTTGTCCCGCTGATCTGGAAGTAACTCTCAGCCTCAAGCAATTCTCCTGCCTTGGCTTCCCAAAACACTGGATTATAAGGGTAACTACCCCACGCCCAGCCTCAAAGTCTGTGCTTTTAATTACTCTTCTATATTGCCTCGACTGTTTGTTGAATGAATGAATGTACCTTACAACTGCAAAGGTTCTTTAACATAATTTACATCACTCACAACCGTTCCCAAATTCCTCTGGCTGCTGTAACAAATTACCACAAACTTTGTAGCATAAACAACATAAATTTATTCTCTCACAAGTCTGGAGGCCAGAAATCTGAAATCAGTTTCACTGAGTTGCACCCGTTGTCAGCAGGGCTGTACTCTTCTAGAGGCTCTAGGAGAGAATCTGTTCCTTGCCTCTTCCAGCTTCCCGGTGATTGCCAGCATTTCTGGCTTGTGGTTTGATATGGTTTGGCTCTGTGTCCCCACCCAAATCTCATCTCGAATTGCAATCCCCACGGATTAAAAAATCCCCATGGGAGGCTGGGTTTTCCCCATGCTGTTCTTGTGACAGTGAGTTCTCAGGAGATCTGATGGTTTTATAAGCATCTGCATTTCTGCTTGCACTTCTGTCTCCTGCCACCATGTGAAGAAAGTCTTTGCTTCTTCCTTTCACCTTTGGCCGTGATTGTTTCTGAGGCCAAAGAAAGAAAGAAAATTTCAATGAGGCCATGCAGAACTGTGAGTCAATTCAGTCTCTTTCCTATAAATTGGCCAGTCTCGCAAAGTTCTTTATAGCAGTGTGAGAACAGACTAATACATGGCTGCATCACTCTAATCTCTATGTCCACGGTCATTGCCTTCATTTGTTTCACATTATAATGGAATACCACAAACTGGGTAATTTATAAAGGAGAGACGCTATTTGGTGTACAGTTCTTGAGGCTGGGAGTCCAAGAGCATGGCGCTGGCATCTGGTGAGGGTTGTGCTACTGATGGAAGGGATGAAAGGTAAAAGCAAGTGCAGGAGACAGACAGAGAAAATGTGGCTAAACTCCCTTTATAACAAACCCAGTCTCGTGATGTTCAATCCACTCCATGACAATGGCATTAATCACTTCCGACAGCCCCACCTCTTTAATAGTGTTACAAATGGCAATTACATTTCAGCACAAGTTTCAGGGGATATTCAAACCATGGCAGTCATACTGCCTCTTCTCTTCTGTCTGTGTGTCAGATCTCCCTGTCTCCACCTGATAAGGACACTCCATTATTACATTTGAGCCCACCCAGATAATCCAGGAGAATCTCCCCCATCTCTAGGATCTTTAACATAATTATTTTTTTTTTTTTTTTGAGACGGAGTCTCACTCTGTCACCCAGGCTGGAGTGCAGTGGTGTGATCTCGGCTCACTGCAACCTCTGCCCCCCGAGTTCAAGCAATTCTCTGCCTCAGCCTCCTGAGTAGCTGGGATTACAGACGCCACCATCATGCCTAGCTAATTTTTGCATTTTTAGTAGAGATGGGGTTTCGCCATCTTGGCCAGGCTGGTCTTGGACTCCTGACCTCGTGACTCCACCCGCCTCGGCCTCCCAAAGTGCTGGGATTACAGGTTCGAGCCACCACACCTGACCAACATAATCACTTTTGCTGTAAGTTAACACTCACGGGTTCCAGAGGTTACCATGTGGCTATCTTTGGAGGACATTGTTCAGTCTACCACAGTTTGCCCTCTGGCCTCGAGAGGATTCACATCTCTCCCACATGCAAAATACATACACTGGCCCCCAAATCCTCAAATGTCTCAAACCATACAACATTCGCTGAAGTCCGACATCTTATCCAAATAAGATCAGTTCAGGAAGTACTAAGTCTCCCTCATCTAAAACAGATATGGATGAGACTCTGGTTATGAAAACAGTCCTGGGCAAAATTCTCCTGCTGTGAATTCGTGATACTTAGAAAACAAGCACTGGTTCCAAAAATACAGTATGGACAG